TGCCACCACTGCTTCTAAATGCTCTGTTTAGGTCATTAACACTTAATGCAAGTATGGTTGTGTCTAGATTTATGTCATTTTATCACTTATTTTCTTGAGCTTCAGTTTTTTTTCCTATTTTCTTTTTATTAGTATTTTCAATAAAGATCTTTCAATTATTTGAGTACTACTTAACATTTTTCAATTTATCTCTAAAATCTTTTAAAAAGATTTGTACACACACACACACACACACACACACACACACACACACACACACACAGGTGTTTTGCTTGCATGTATGTCTGTTGTACTATTTGTGTGCACCGAATGCAAAGGTCAGAAGAAGGCATTGGATCCCATGCAACTGAAGTTACGGATGGTTGGGAGCCACCAAGCAGGTGCTGGGAATTGAACCTGGGTCTTCTGGAAGAACAGCCAGTGCTCTTAGACTTCTGAGCCATCTCTCCAGCCCCTATCTCTAGGCTTTTTTGATCACACCGTTTTATTCTTCTTGTGTCTGTGCTAAGGATTACACAACCCATACTTTTTTCCCAGAGCCGAGGACCGAACCCAGGGCCTAGCAAGCGCTCTACCACTGAGCTACATCCCCAACCTGACCCATACCTTTTAATCTACTTAGAAGCGTTACCTTCCCACCTCAAGCAGAATGTAGGGCACTACTATATTTCTTCCCCCTTCTCATTCCTGCTGCAGCTGCCTAGTACACACCCAGTCTGCTGGACACTGCATGGCAGAGCACGCTGTCAGCTGCAAATCTGCAGCCGGGCTCCTCTGCTACCATGCACTTCTCATGCAGCTCCTCATCCCGATGTGCTAAGATGCCCTCGGGTCCACGCTGACCCGAAGACCCTTCCTTCTCTAGCGCTGCTGTTAGAGCAGTGAAGTCTCTGGTTTTTCTTCATCTTGCAATGTGTTTCCTTTGTCTCCATGCTCTAGGTAAGGCTTTACCAGCTGTGGGGCCCAGGCAGGCAGCTCTTTGAACAATAACGTTTAATGTCCTTTTCATCTCCTTGACTTCCGAGGAGCATCAGGGAAACAAGAGGATGTTTACAACGTTTGGCACTTCAGATTTCTGCATCAGAAATCTATGGCAAATATTCCAAAATATTTTTAAGGAAAATCTGAAACCTGTAACATCTCTGGTCCTAGGCATTTCAGATAAAGGATATTCAACCTTGATGTGTGAATGTGTTCTGGATGTTTAGAGTGTGGTCTTCGACGTCAGCTTCAGTAGTTGGATCGGATGCGGCGTCTCAAGTGCAGTTCTCTTCTGCCTTCACCTTCTTTGGGGTTTCAGGAATTTGTTTTTTTGTTGGTTGGTTGGTTGGTTTTTCAAGACAGGATTCCTTGTTGTAACAGCCCAGGTTGTCCTGGAACTCAGAGATTCTCCTGTCTTGCCTCCAAGTGCTGAGATTTAAAGGTATGAACCCCACTTCCAGCCCTTTTAAAAATTATTTATTTTTAAGATTGTAATTACATCATTTCCCCCTTTACTTTCTTCCATCTAAGCCCTCTCATACAAGCCTCCCTGCTTTTTCAAATTCATGGACTCTTTTTTCATTAATTACTTTATATGCATACATGTATATGTATATGCTACCCTTATCTTTTGAGATAGGTCTCTTACTGAAACCTGGGACTCACTGACTGGTCAGACCCGCTGGCCAGCCAGCCTCCGTGATCCTACTTCCTCTGCGTGCCCAGTGCTGGGACTTACCGGCATGTCCCACGTACCTGGCTTCTGACACCTGCTAGACACAAGCACAGGTCTCACGCTCGCAAAGCAAGCACTGCCAGTGTAGCGCCCCAGCCCCAGCCTTCCAGTGCTCCCCACAGGCCCCAGCCTTCCAGTACTCCCCACAGGCCCCAGCCTTCCAGTACTCCCCACAGGCCCCAGGCAGGTTGCTGCTGGCTCTCCTTTCCTTGTGCTGGGGACTGAGCCCAGAGCCCCCACATGCCAGGTACCCTCTACCACTGAGCTACGTCACTACCTAGCTGTCTATTTTCAATGTATTTTTTCTAATAGTTCCAGTCTGGTATTAAACCTATTAATTTGAATTTGAGATTGTTAGCTACTATAATTTTCAATTCTAATATTCCTTCTAGGTTCTTCTGTTTATGTGTCTTTGAGAGTGTTCATTGCCTTCAGAGCATGGTCTTACTAGCTCGTTTCAAGTGTTCTGACAGTTCCAACAGGAAAACTCGTGGGAGCTGAATCTCCCTCTGTCATGTGGGTGGGTCACAGGGTCACTCAGATCCTGCTGGCCACCAGCTGGCCCCACCCAGCATCTGCTGACTGCTTCTCCTTACAGCCCCTGAGGTTTTTCTTGGCTCTTCATACACCAAGTCACTATGGATGGAATCAGGATATTCTAAACATTGTGTTTGAGACTCTGGGCCTTCTTCAAAACCGATGGGAAGTGTTACTGCTTGGGTTGGGCTCCGCCTGCTGAGCAGGCAGCAGGGGAAAAGCGACCCCCTCCCCCATGCAGGGCCAGTCATTCAGGCGCCTGAACCTAAGCCACCGTCTGTGCCGCCTGCCCATAGTCTGGGACCACAGAGAACAGAAAAAATAACATCACCTAGAGGAATCCCCTTCCTGTCTGCCTAAGTCTCCTTTCATTTCAAATGTCTGCAGCTGCATTTCACAGGCCACCAAGCGCCCCCATCAGAAGTGAAAGTAAGGCACCCCAGCTTGCTGGGACTTCAGGTCCTGTCACTCTTAGCTAGCATTTACTTTACAGAGCTACTCTGAGCATCCTGTCCTTAGCCTTTAGCTCCATTCATCAGGAGAGCTGGGGTAGAGTATGCTTGTCACCTTGCCCCAGAATGGCTCTTAATTCCATTGCACAGCCAGGCTGAGGAACTACTGTACACATTTACGTGGACACTGTGCATCAAGAGTTGGTAAACCGTGAGCCCACAAGACGGCTCAGCAGGTAAAAGCACCTGCCGCCACATCTGATCCCCAGAAACTACATGGTGGGACAGAATGACTCCTACAGATTGTCCTAGGTCTCTCTGTCTCTCTGTCTGTCTGTCTCTCACCTACCCAGTATGTGCTCCCCACTAACATTTTTTTACCAGTTGGCAAATGCCTTATGCACAGGGTTAACAGACACTGCTTGAGGCTTTGTCCTTATCTGCTGCAACAGCAGCCCGCACAGCATCAGCAGGCACAGCCGCCTTCCAATAAAATGTTATTTGACAAAACTGGTCCCCAGCTGCATGGGCTCAGCCATCGTTTGCTGACTCCTGCTCCATTTCACAAACAAGGTCAATTAAAGGTCAAGTCCACACTGAGAAACTACTCTGAGACACCTGAGCAATCTGTAGAACCTGATGTTTGGAACACTGTGTGAGACGGACTGTCGCTCTCTGTAAGCTGGTGTCTCACCTGAACTACCCTCCCAATTAACATGGGATACTTAAGGATTTTAAGACTTACCAGAGGATAAAGATTAATTTCATGTAATGAAGTGACAATAAAATGAATAAACGGCCGAGAGAAGAGGTCTGAAAAGCCAACGACTGTTTCTATCCTTGGATTCTTCTAGAAAAGAAAGGCTTCGGCTCTGCTCCTCTGCTGCTAGCTCCACAGTGCTCCAAACTGTGGTGCACGTTCAACACTGGTTCAGTTACGCTCTGGGATTCTTGAAACAGATCTTTCTCTAGAGTGAAAGTAGTTTTAAAAACTAAAATTTCAGGTTGACAAGATGGTTCTGTAAGCGAAGCCGTCAGGGGCCGATGGCTTGAGTTCTATCTGCAGAATCCACAAGGTGGAAGCAAAGAACTGAATCATGCAAGGTGTCCTCTGACGAGCGCCTGTGCTCACGCAGTACGGCACGGTAAGCCTGAGGGGGCAGCATACCTCGACAGTAACCAGCAGCTCTCTAACTGGACTCAGGATCCTCTCAACAACAGGGAACTCATGCCTGGTACTGGAAACTTAGTCCACTATCCAGAGCTAGTCAAGTCCTGGATCTTGTAGAGCCTACAACTGTCACTTGACTAAGCCAGCATCATTTCTAACTATGTTCTGAATATTTGTCCTTATGCCCACAGATAAGGACAGTCCTCATCCCTCAAGGAAACTTCTCTTTGAAACAGATGGAAACTTCTCTTTGAAACAGATGGAGACCACTGCAGAAAACCCCAGCCAATCAGAAATGCCATGTGGAGCCCAGTCTCAACAGATACATCCACATCACAATTCTTGCACCTAAGGCTCAGGGATCATCGTGCAAGAGGGAAGAAAGGTGGTACGAGCCCGAGGAACCGGGAGTTTACCGTGAGACTGTCTCCTAGAGATGCCAGAAGTTACACCCATAAAGTCTCACCAGCACGGCTGCCTGAACAGCCAAAACAGACATGCTGACACGGAAGGGGAAGCTCATGAGGCTCAATTCTTCACGGAGAATGACAGGAAACCAGACTGCCGGGAGAAGAACAATCACTCTTCCCCAGGGGAGCACTTCAATATAACCAAGGCTAAATGGCCAACCACGCAAATCTACGTACAAGTAACATAATACAAACTGTATGCATGCACTCAGGAATATATAATACATGCACGCGCACACACACACACACACACACATACACCACCACCACCAATAGCAACAACAATTAAAGAAAAAAGAGGCCATGAATTCAAAGGAGAGCAAGGTGAGGGGAACATGGGAGGGACCAAAGGGAGGAAAGGAAAGGGGGAGATGATGTAATTATATTATCTCTAAAAAATTATTTAAAAAAAGTTAAGACCAGCTGAAGGTACACAGCTAAGTACCAGGCCAAGGTGGGATACACTGTGAGACCCTATCTAAAAAGCAAAACCTAAACAAACACAAAAATTCTGCAGTTATGGTATCCTTCCAAAAAGAAACCCTATGGCAATCTTCTTGAGGCTAGTTTAAAGCAGAGGAAGTCATAAAAATGCTGTCCGGACCTGTTTTTCCAGATTCGAGGTGGAGCAGGGCTGCCCTCCTCTCCCTCACCTGGTTTCCTGCCGCAGAGGTAGAAGGCCAGTCTGTCAGTCAGCTCGTACTGTATCTCCACGAGGCGCTCCGCCAGCTCATGGTGCCCTCCTTGCCTACCAAGAAGACAAAGCACCATTGACACAGCCCAGCGCGCTGGCACTGAGTCAGAAGAGCACAGGCCGTTCTGAGACACCTGAGAGGCTATCAAACGCGACTCTCTCTCGGGAATCTGTGCTCGGCTGACTCATGGCTTTCAGTGTCTCCTCCAGGAGCCAGGGCCCCTACCCAGCCACCCTCTTCCCTTCACAAATGTGTCAAGACTCCTGAGTTCATTTCATGAGGTGGAAAAAATCAAACTAATACATAGAAGAGGTTCGCAAAAGTCAACCAGAGTATTCCCAGAAATATCCAGCCTTGGGAACTCTGATCAGTAAGGACAGAACAGCCCCAGGCCAACGTTCCGAAGAAGGAAGACCCTTCCTCCACATGATCCTGATGCCTGTGGCCAGCTGGCCTTGGGTCTGAGCCTACAAGGCAGAAATCACTTCAAGGGCTTCAAGGCAGATTAACCTGATGCAGAACTCATCCCTGCAGCTACTTCTGCCTCTGTATCTGCCATTTCTGCAACATGAAACAGTGTCTGCCTTTCTTTATTCATAAAATATTTAGGCTGTTTGGAATCCTTTTAGCATATTAGTAAACTTTTACACCGACACTATTATATGCAAAGTACACAAGAGATTCCAAAGTGAAAAAAGCGTTTACTTTGGATTCTGTTATCCTCAAAGATCAAATCTAGCTTCAGCCAGTTTCTCTCTCCACACACTTCCTGACCTGCTGCACGTATCGGAATCTAACAGACGCCCTGTCTTCTCAGTCGGTAACTGTTTGTGAAATCGTGAACTGCCCCGTGGTGCTGGTCTGTGGTGGTGCATCTGGCGGAGGTCGCTCTGTGCTGGCTGAAATGGAGCAGTGTGGTCCAGCAGAGCTGATCAAACACTGCATTCCTCTCACCACCCCTCAGCTCCTCCAGGCCCATCTCCACGGTGATGAACACACTCGGTCCATCCCCACCTCCCACCCTGGACTGTCTTTCCTCTCTTGAGGATGTTTTAGTTCCTCCTTCATGGGTCCAAATCGAACCCACTCCTCAAAGATCACTGGGGCCACAATAAAGAAACTTTACATAAGCTCACTTTCTGTTACATGTCAGTGTGTGTGGTGTGTATGAAACACGTTTGCACGTATGTGGCCCCGTGTGTGTGTGTGTGTGTGTGTGTGTGTGTGTGTGTGTGTGTATGCACATGTATATGGATATTCAAAGCCTACATCAGGAATCTTCCATGACTGCTCTCCACCTTATCAGGGAGGCAGAGTCTTGAGTGAACCCAGAACTTGATGACACAGCTAGTCTTGCTAGTCAGCTAGCCACAGGATCCTTGTCTCTGCCGTCTACTGCTGGAATACAGGAGGACCACCATGCTCACAAGGCATCTGTCTGTGGGAGCTCTGGTCTTTAGGCTTGCACGGCAAGGGCTTTAATCAGTGGCCATCTCCACAGCCCCTTACATGGGCTTTTTAAATTTATTATGGATTTCATGGCATGTATGTGGTTCAGGGGACTTTTGGTGGTGGGTTCTTGCCTTCTGTCTTATTAGGCAGGGTCTCTCTGGTTTTTGCCACACTGCACACACCAGGACAGCTGGCTCACAAGCTTTATGACTCTGCCCTCTGCTTCCCATCTTGCTGTGGGTGCTGGGATTACAGATGTATGAAGCACACCTGGCTTTGCATGTGGGTTCTGGGGACCACACTCTGGTTTTCAGGGCTGTGTGACAGGGCTTTTACCTTTGAGTCACACGGAGGGGTGTGGCAGTTCACACCTATAATCATAGCATGGGGGAGAGAGGAGAGCACCTGCAGGAATATTTCTGGGAATTTAAGGCCAGCCTGGGTTAGAGTCAGACCCTGTCTCAAAGGAAAACAAAACAAAACGAAACACCACATGGCTAACTGTCCATTTATCAACGATTCATTTATCATCTTGCCTCCATTCCTTCAGGCATTCATTAGTCCCCTCTTCCAGATTCTGGGACAGAGTTTGTTGTTTCCCATTTAATTCTTCGTGAAGCAGAACATGCTGCTTCATAGTTAATAAAATGAATCTGGGAAGAGAAGGAAAGCTAGCCACCTTCCATCACCGGCACCTGCAGGTTTGTATTTAACCCTGTGGAGTTCCTCCCCACTCTGGCATTTCAGCTGCAGCAGGGCGTGGTGGTGTGCCTGCAGCCCCAGTTACTCAGGGGCACACAGTAAGAAGTTTGTGTAAGTTCAGAAGTTCAAGATCAGCCTGGGCCCCCAAACAAAACAAAACCACAGCAGGAAAAAATTAAAGATGTATTAAAAACTTGAAGAGTGGGTACTGTATTTGCCCCCAATGCCAGGGACTGAACTTGCCCACACATGCTAGGCCAATGCTCCAGCCCTGCGGTGCTTCTAGCCCCATTTCATTCCTCAGGCTTACAGGCGAGCACGTCACTCAGTGAGCCATTTCCCTAGCCTCCTCTCTAATTCTTTTATTTAATTTTTACAATTAAGATTTATTTATTTTTATGTGTAAATGTTCTGCTTGCATGTAAGTGCATTTCATGTGTGCCTGGTGCCCTTGGAGGAACCCCTAGAACTAGAGCTACAGATGAGGTACCACGTGGTGCTGGAAACTGAACCCTGAGCCCCAGTCCTCTGCAAGAGCAGCCGGTGATCTTAACCACTGAGTGTATTCTCCAGCCACCCCAACTCCCAATTCTTGATACCTGATTTGTATGCTATGGCTTGAACACCATTTGTTATAAAGACTGGAAGTTAAACACCCCAGTTTATGGTTCTAGATTCCCTGATCTTGCCTATGTTGAAAAATCTTCATCAACAAACATTCTATCAACAACAACAACAACAACAAAATCTATTATTATAGAATATAAATCTCAAAAGGGACTGAACACAAGCCATACACAATTCAGTCACTTAACAAGGAATCCTACTCAGCTCACAGGCAAAGCCAGCCCTCCAGGCCCTCACCTTGCATAATCAACAGGAGTCTTCCCACTGGAATCTTGAGTGCCTGGGTCAGCTCCGTATACTGCCAATAATTCAGCCTGTAAAATCTGTCCTGCTTTGGAGGCGACGTGGAGTGGAGTGCTTCCTTTTTCCTAAGAATTATTAATAAAAGTAGACAAAAAAAAAATCAAACTAAGTAAACTTGGCCTATTCCAGTGCAACTCATTTTCAATCTAATATCTGAACCAACTGAGGTCTCCGTACAGGATGGAAGAAGTTGGCTTGGGCTCCTAGAGACAGCAATCTCAGACAGGTCTCCAGGTTCCCTGTTCGCACACTTGAGTGGAGTTGCTGGAAAAGAGACAAGAAAGAGTAGCTGTGAGAAGTGTCAGGTGACATGCTCCACTAGTAGCAGATCTTTATTTGGCTCAGGAAGATGGGAGGCCTCTGCTGACACAATGGCTGCAGGCTGAGTGAGTCTTGCACGTTTTATCCACAAGGAGCCAGAACTGCAAAGGCCAGTCTACCCAGTGTGGGGCCTGCCAGGTAGGGGCACAACTATGACCCGAGTGGGAAGCACAAGAAGGAGACTGCGGTTGGGTGGAATGGACTTCAAGGCCCATTGCCTTCCAGCTGTGTGAGCTGAGAAAAATTCTTTGGGCAGCGGAACCTGGGTACCATGGTGCCATCTGCCAATGGGGTTATTGTGAGGATTCAATGATACAGGAAATGTTTCAAAACTCAGACGCTGCTACACTCGTAATTATTTGCTGCTGCCATGGGTACTGCTGATCTCAAGCTGCCCACTGCATAAGCTGCACACCTGCCTTACACCATCCACTATCAATCTGCATTGTTCATCTATCCACACAAAGCTTTCAAGAGGTTGCTGTTGGTGGGAAACAGGCCTGTGCTACACCAAATCCTTATTATCACAGAAAAGCTTTCCCTCAAGTTTAATCTAGAACTGCTCCAGATGCAGTGATTGACACCACAGGAACAGAGAAACCCACTGTAGCCCCCTTTTTTTGTTTTGTTTTGGTTTTTATTTTTAATTATAGGTAGTATGTATGTATGTGCACACTGAGTGAACGCAGATGCCCACAGAGGCCAGAAGAGGGTGTCAGAACCCCTGGAGCTAGAGTTACAGGTGGTTGTGAGTCATCTGATGTGGGTCATCTGCAGAACACTATGCACTCACTCTTAATTGGTGATCCATCTCTCCAGCCCCACGTTGTATTATTATTATTATTATTATTATTATTATTATTATTATTATTATTATTAATTTTAAACACACACACACACACACACACACACACACACACACACACACACACACACACTTTTACACAAGGTCTTACTATGTAGTCCTGGCTGGCTGGAACTCACTATTTAGACCGGGCTGGCCTTGAATTCACAGCTGTCTCCCTGCCTCTGCCTCCCAAAAGCCGAGGATTAAAGATGCATGCCACCACACCTGGCTGTATTTTTTATTTGGTAAAAAAGGAGAGAAACTATTTAAGTCTTACTAATTAGTAGAAAACATATATATGTATATATGTAAAATTAGTGTTCTGAATTGGGCACATGCTCTGTTGAGTGAACATCCAGTTCAAAGCACTGCTCCAAGAGTTAAGACGTGCATTTCTACAGCATCTCCCAGACACTCAAGGCCCCCAGAGAAAGCGCCAGCTCACCAGCATAACAGACCATGTGTGCACCAGCTCTAGCCACACTCTCCCTTCTGAAGATCCCAGCCCTGCACTCCTGCCTCTGCTGTTCTCGTCTCCTAGAAACAAGCATCCTAAAAACTTCCTAGGCCCTTCTTTCAGAAACACTCCTTTGAAAATAACAATTTCCAAGTACAGAACTTACCAAAATATGTATGTGAAAACTATACTGAGAAGCACAAATTAATTAAAACTCTTAAAAAGAGGAAAAGGGACTGATTCTGAGACACTTCTTTTTCCTGTTTGTCTAGCATGTCCAAGAGGAGGAGTGACTGCCATTTAAGAGACAACTGCAGCAGAAAGCGGTCAGTTAAAGGTTCGGGAGAGATCCGTTTCTTCCCCCTAGTGAGGCAGCCCACGGTTGGCAGGCCCCTGGGACTGGGAAGAGTGCGCCCACCTTACTGAGGTCTTTGGCAGTCACACTTCCCCCTGGTGAGGCAGCCCACGGTCGGCAGGCTCCTGGGACTGGGAAGAGAGCGCCCACCTTACTGAGGTCTTTGGCAGTCACGCTGTCATCGTCACGGCAGGGCAGTCGGTGGACAAACGCTAACATCTGATACTTGGCTCTGATGAATTCTGCTTTATTGGGGCTGGTTTGAAAACAAAAGAGAAAATAGTTCACTTACAGTTCAGACACATCTCTCATTCTTTGTATCGTAAGAGGAAGTGACCACACCCCCCAACTTGAGACTACATTTCAGCAGTGCTGAAGACCTGGTCTGCAAACACAGTACAGACCACCACTTTCTATAGCATCCTTCTTCCCTTTCCAACCTCCTTAGCTGATGGAACCCCAGGGGGAAGCAGCATTTAGTCCTCGTTCTAGGTGAGGCACTGGGCAGAATGCTGCCAGAAGCCAGGTTTCTGGTCTGACTGCCACTAGTTCTGATCACACCTACTTGCCAAGCTCCGGTCTCCAACTGGAGAAATGATTAAGTTCAGTTGGCTGACCAAGCAAGCAATGGCCTCCTGCCTCACTCTGCCTTTCTAACAGAAAATGCTCAGGCACAAGGCCGATCAAAACAGCCACATCCCTTCCAATTGGGTCGTTTGTTGTAAAGAAACAGAAGGAGTTAGAAACATTCCACTCACTGCACTTTATCCTGCGGATTAGCTTTCCGTCTTCCACTCATAATAGATGCGGGGTCCAGCAGAGAATGCTCCCATATAGAATTAGCACCATTGTTATACAAGGTCTCAACCATCTGAAACCAAACAGTATGAAATGATATTTTATTTCCTTAAATAGTCAAAAAGAATCGGTAAAAAAAACATGGAAAAATAACACTCCATTAAAACACTACCACGTCTGTGTACCACTCCATTACTATTTCTGATCGTAAAGGGAGACTGAGGAGCTCGAGGTATGATTCGGCTTTGCTTGTAGGATAGCCAAATCCAGCTTGATTGCACAAACTTACAAACTGAAGGAAAACTGACTGATGCTTTAGGGTGGCATTTCCCTGCCTGAACAAATGTTATTTTACCCACATACACACTATTCACTTAATACTTTTCATTAAATCCACCTATTTAAAAATATTTTACTAATAATTGTTAGTTATAAACTCTTAAATAAAGTAATGCAATAAACAAATATTTGAGTGCTCTCTCTCTCACACGTCCCATCATGTTCCATCCTTTAGAATCTGATGCCTTAGTGTCAACCCCAGCAATTTCAATTACTCATCTCTGGACCATTTGTAAACTCTAAAACGGTAAACAAAGACAGACCTAGGAGCAGCACACTCCTTTCATGTGAGAATGGGCCTTTGGAAACTTCTAAGGCGAACTTTTTTGTTTGGTTGTTTTGTTTTTTGGAGACAGGGTTTCTCTGTGTAGCCCTAGCTGTCCTGAAACTCACTTCCTGAGTGCTTGGATTAAAGGCATGTACCACCACTGCCTGGGTTAAGTAGACAAACATCTCAACTTCATTTCCAAACAGGAGTCCTAGAAAGGCCCGTCTGTTTGGGCAGCTCAATTATCAGCAACCCAAAGCACTTGCTGTGGTACCTTGGCTCATTCAAGTTTAAGGGGCACCGTGTACAGCTGTTGCAGATTTAGTGAGATGTGTATTCAGACAAAAATCACAAAATGTACTGTTGTAGAATAATCCTTCTGTACACTGTAAAAATGTTCCAATGAAAAACTCCATCTACAGCGCACAATTAATCCCGAGTTTCAGAAGAATGAGGAATGTGTACCCCAAATAGAAGTACAAGGAACATGACATCAGATCCCAAATAAGACAAAGACCCCGACAAGTGTTAGGCGTGCAATCAAAACATGCCCACTTAGTCTCTGACAGTGGGGGCTTTAAAAAAACCTTCAGATATTGAAGATATTTCTGAGGAATCCCAATCTATGCTTTTATCAAAGCAAGAAAAAATGGTCTAAAAATGTGAGCAGGTACTCAGGAATCTAGTGTTAATGAAAAGTTTCTTAGCAGTGGCTTTTAGGATCATTCATCACACTATATATGATAGATAGACTTTTTAAAAATAATTTCCAGTAGCTGGAGGGATGGCTCAGTGTTCTAACCAAGCATTGGCTGCTCTTGCAGAAGACCTGGGTTTGAGTCCCAGCACCCACATGGTGGTTCACAATCATTTGTAAATCCAGTTTCAGGAGATCCTATGTCTTCTTCTGGCCTCTGTGGGCATATACATACATGCAGGAAAAATACTTATACATATAAAAATAAATAAATCTAAAAAAAGTTAAAAAAACAAAAATAATTTCTGGGGACTGAAGAATGGCTCAGTAGTTAAGAGCACTGGCTGTTCTTCCAGAGGACCCGGGTTCAATTCCCAGCACTCATAGCAGATCACCGCTATATCTCCAGTTTTAGGGGATCCCAACACCCTCATACAAACACACACGCAGGCAAAACATCAATGCATTAAAAAGAAATTAAAAAATAATTTCTGAACCTGGGCATAGTAGTGCACACCTTTAATCCTAGCACTTAGGAAGCAGAGCCAGAAGGATGTCTGTGAGTTCAAGACCAGCCAGGGCTACATAGTGAGACTCTTGTCTCAAATAAAACAAAACAATTTCTGTTGACAATCTAGAAAATCAGCAGTGAAAAACTAACTGAGAAATTTAGATTTCTATTGATACAGTCTATTGATACATTTGTCTAGGTATAACTCCGTTTAGGGGAACAAAATTATGTTTGGTGAGCAAAGAAAGAATAGATAACTATTTCAATACAGGACAATATTTTATACTATACAAAGGGCACAGCACTTTATCCAATTATGATCCAAACATTTTTATAAGATTTAAGATGTATATTAGGAGATCTTTTAGTTGATAAAATAACACTCTCTAAACCACAAATTTCCAATTATGAAAATTTTTCTTATCATTTACCTGAAGCAGTGTTGGAGGCCATGGTGTGTGTTTAAGATGCCTTACTTGGGAGATATGGCGCCCTAGACTCCGATGAACACTGCAACACTCGTCACATATAAAAGTTCCCCTGTTTACTGATGCCCAGGAAGGATCTGGAAGAAGAACGACACCTCAGTGGCAAGGACACTAATTGGCTGCTATAAACATGATGGTGAAAGATGGCTGATATTTGGTTTCTAAGAAAACAACAGAACATCCTCAACATAGAATCGGATGGACCAGCCTGAGAATCCTGTCCAAATGACGGATTAGGCACAATGTTAACTAAGACTCACAGCCTTACATATCAGCTACCTTCCTGTGTAGGCCACAGTCTGCAGCCTGAATGTGGATCGACCACCACAGACACAACTCTTACAGAACGTTAAAGCAGCAGACTGAAGGAGTGAGCAGGGGCGGATCATTCTCCTGTTTCCTTTCTTGTAGTGCTAGGGACTGAACCTGGGGCTTGTCCACGCTAGGCAAGCACTCTACCATTGAGCTCCATCCTCCTTCAGCTCGATGAATCATTTTGAGTCCATCTCTGTGAATAAGACTGAATAATCTCGACAGTGAATTATCCGAGTAACAGTATCGAAGATAAACAGTGAACTCACTGCTGCCCAGTGCAGGAAGTCAAGCCCCACATGCTAACAGAAAGCCAGAAGAGAACTGCAGAAGCACTCAGCTCTTCTGAGGGCAGGGAAGAGGGTGCCCACTCTGCCAAGGTGATGCTCTATGACCACACCAGTTGTTTTAGACAACCTGCTGGACCCAGTCTTGCAGCTGACTTGAAGGAAGGGGCCTCACAGATAAAGACAAACCAAGGGAACAGTACTTCTTGTTGGGTACTAGAATTTTTTCCTTTGAAATCCACAGAACTTCATCAGACAACCTTTCATAAGAGGAATAATTTACACTAGGTGGACAGGGTGGATCTGGGTAAGTAAACTGAGCTTTAGAAACCCCAAATAAAGACAGGCCTTTCCCATTCCATCAGACTCACAGCAGAGTGACAAGAGGTGCTATGCCAGCCGCCTGGCCTAAGGGTTATATTTAAAAATTCTTCAATGTCCACAAAAATCTCTAAAATGCATGTATATCATCCTTACCATTTTAAACAGTTTACTCTAACCCTTTCAAGCCATATAATGAAAAGCTATGGGGTTTCAATCAAAGACATATCCTGGGAGCCAGAGAATACAGTGGTTAAGAGGGCTGGTTATGGAGACAAACAGTCCACGGTTTGAACCCCAACTCTGCCACACTTCTTGTGCAATAATCTGAGGCAAGTTACTTCTTTGAGTGTCCTCCCAGGGTGAGAAGAGGGGAGGGACAATGTAAAGAGTAAATAAAGTGTCTGTCATGGGGGCACAGGAATGATGCATTTTACATGAACTAGGTTCCTTAAAAACAAACAAGAAATCAGGGCTGGGCGTGTGGCTCTCCTAGCAATTGTGAGCCCCAGCACCAGCGAGGTAAACAAGACTTAATCATAGTGAAGTGTCTTCTCGAAAACAAAACAGAAAAGGAGCCGGCAAGCTTAACCACAGGTGCTGCTGTGCGTGCTGCGGAGGGGAGAGGGAAGCAGGGGGACCCTGCACAGACTGTAGCAACACTGCTTCCTGCGTCCATCTGTCAGTACTAAGACTGGAGGTGGCTCTGCTTCTCATTATCAGAGGCTCACAGCACTCCTGCACAAATCAGCCAGGAAAAAGGGAGCAATGGTTTAAGATGTAGTAAGCAAGGGTCTCCATTAATCACTCAAACACCATGGATCAGAATCCCAAGGAAAGAATACTTGACCACACGGAAAATGAAAATCAAGCTTTTATGAATGAGACTGGGTGAAGCCCTTCCAGTTTATCTGGAAGGCAGGGTTTTTTAAGGCTCCATGAACACCACAAATAGACTTCAAAAGTATCTGTGTGCCCCCCCCGCCATCTTATGAAAATTTTGTCCAGGAGAGTTAAGTATTTGAGTATCTTTTGAGATGGCCTTATCATTAGGATGTCAAAGGAGCCCTAATCTTACAGGTAACCCTCCACCTGAGCTGTGCTCAAGAGGCAGTACAAATTCCTAGTTGCTCGTTCACCCTTCAAGGTAGCCACATTATCTTCAAAACAGGAAGGAAGTGACTCAAGCCCTTCTAGATTTTGGCATTCAAGACAGCTAATATGAAACAAGAGAAAAGGTCCTGAAGGGCCACAAATGGACAAGACGGTACTCAGGGTGGCAAGGGCAGGCAATCTGCCTTTGCCGTGTACCTTCCTCCCGAGAGGTAAGGAACGTGCATCCCAAGAGGAAGTTTTAAGTTAGGCACACATGAATCAACGGAAAACAGGCAAGAAAAGGAGGAAGCGGAACAAACGACATTTTTAGAGAAAATGATAGTGTGTATAAACCTGGCTTACATTATGAGGATTAAAAACCCTCCCTGCCTGTCCTCATCTTCCACCTGAACTGTTAGCCCGCAGTACCGAGGGCCACGACATACGTAAGGGTTACCACAGCACCATGTAAAATCAGGCCTCTGCTTCTAAATGACAAGATGAACAGGAGAACAGTTGCAAGCCGCTGGTGTTCAGTGACTTCATTAAGATTGTTTACCAAACCCTGCTGGACCAGGAAAGTCCTCTAACGTGTTAAGTGACTGCGAACTCGAAGTTAATCCAGTCCAAGAACCAAAACAAGGACCAAAAAAAAAAAAAAAAAAATCTGAATCGGGACCTGTCCATGGGGTTCCAGTTACTAAACGAGATCCGATCTTCCAATCCAAATCCTAGCTACAGTAAGAACCGTTTGGGCCGTTCGATGTCCCGGACTCTGTGTGTGTGTTTGGTACCACTCTGAACCCAAACTTTAGCCGAAGGAACTACGAGGGTTCTGAACTGAGCCACACCATACAAAAGAGGCGATCCCTAGAGACTATCCATTGACCACGGCGCACGGGTCTGGCCAAAGTTTCCATCGGGGCGGGGAGGGGGGCGGTAAAAAAAAAACGAGGAAATCAAGGTTTGAACAAGTGAAGTCATCAGTCCAAGGTCACGCCGAAGCGCAATCCGGTGGGAACTTAGACCCTCCAACACCCCCGAGCTAGGTAGGGCTGTCTCCGCTCCCGGGAGCGGGTGCCGGGCGCAGGGCAATCCTCCACTCGGGGTCGCGCACACGCACGGGCGGGGCGGGGCAGGGCAGGGCGGGGGGGGGG